AACGAATTGAAAACTTAAGAATTGGGAATTCTGATTTCCACTCATACAGAGAACATTTTAAGACAAGTTTGAAAGATATACTCAAATTATGAATTGAGGCACATTTTGGGGGTCTTTAGTGCCCCCCCCCCCCGGTTGCTTTGCAGAATTGCGGAACTTAAGAATTGGCTTTTTGGGGTTTCCTATCATAGATGTATAAAGTCCAGGCCTCAAACCTTTTGTACTCGAGATTTGAAAAAATGTCTCTGGGTTTCCGGACTATTTAAATATATGGCGTTTTTCATCGAGGGACGGGTTGTATGGAATAATTAAGAGATTATGGAAATTTTATAATTCATCCGTAACATGCAACACGACATGTGTGTGTGTGTATTCCGTGTGTGTGTGTTATGTGTGTGCTGTGTTTGTGTGTGTGTGTGTGTGTGTGTGTGTGTGCACGTGTGTGTGTGCCGTGTGTGTGTGTGTGTGTGTGTGTGTGTGTGTGTGTGTGTTGTGTGTGTGTGTGTCGTGTGTGTGTGTGTGTGTGTGTGTTCAGTGTGTTGTGTGTGTGTGGTGTGTGTGTGTGTGTGTGTGTGTGTGTGTGCGTGTGTGTGTGTGTGTGTGTGTGTGGTGTGTGTGTGTGTGTGTGTGTGTGTGTGTGTGTGTGTGTGTGTGTGTGTGCTGTGTGGTGTGTGTGTGAGTGTGTGTGTGTGTGTGTGTGTATGTGTGTGTGTGTGTGTGTGTGTGTGTGTGTGTGTGTGTGTGTGTGTGTGTGTGTGTGTGTGTGTGTGTGTGTGTGTGTGGTGTGTGTGTGTGCTGTGTGTGTGTGTGTGTGTGTGTTGTGTGTGTGTGTGTGTGTGTGTGTGTGTGTGTTTGCGTTGTGTGTGTGTGTGTGTGTGTGTGTGTGCGCGTGTGTGCGTGTGCGTGTGCGTGTGCGTGGTGCGTGTGGCGTGTGTGCGTGTGTGTAGGGTTGGGAGTACGTAAGTGCGTTATTGCCTGCGTGGTTTCTTACACGTGAATGTGTATGTGTAATTCTGAGTGTAACAGTCAGCTATTTTTTCAATTATAGTAGTATGAAGGCAGAAAACAATTCAGTGAAATGCTAAAACCATAGCATGATAAAAAAAAAAAAAAAAAAAAAATGGAAAATATTACTTGGTCGTTTACCATAGTTGGAGTCCCGCATTCTCAATAACTGATTGAGAAGGAACCGGGTATGATCAGGCTGAAGTGTAGAAAAGTGTTGGTGACTGCCAATCACGGCAGCCTCTCCTTCACCCTTTAGGCTGGATAGAAGAACCTCTCCTTCCGCCTGCAACTCCCTCAGGAACCGCGTGTGCAACTCTGACGTGAAATGTATTGATTAAATACTTAATGCATGGAATTTCCAAATGTGCTTCATGTTTCAATCTGAAAATGTACATTTCCTTACCGTCTAATGGGGCTTCAATCCTTTTAAATGTATTATCCACATTCTTATTCATATTCTTTCTACCTTGCGGTGCACCCTCCTTGAAAGATTTAACCTTTCTTCTAATATTGCCCTCTTTGCCGCCGACTTTTTCCTCTGCTCTTTTTTCGTGTTTTGAGCCTTGTGAGTCCTCGGGTGGTTCACAAGTTTGTTCTTTTCTGTTATCAGGTTCTTGATGGATAAGGAGAGGACATTTCTCTTTGGCTTCTAGTGGTGACTCTGAACTTTTGTGTTTGGTATTATGGTATTTTTTAATGAATTTCTCCAGTTTATCATTGAAATCATGTTGACGTTTGTTTTTTAGCGGCTTGTATTGAGTTCGCTTCGGTTTCCCTTTTAGTTGGTCTATTTTCTGGGAAATTCTCAAAAGAAAATCCATAGGCAATTCTCTCATTGGTTCACTCTTCTGCGACTTTTCACTGTTATTTGAAATTATTTTGATGTTATCGCTACATGACAAACGCTCCAAAAAAAGACTCCCGTTTATATCCTCAGTGGCATCTGACGGAGAGTGACACGTTGTAGACGTTAATTTCCAACTTTTGCCATCATTTTGTTTTATTATTCCTTGGGCTACACTCATCTCACCCATGTCTTCCGATTTTTTACCTACTGTGTATACTGCCTTTTCTTCTCTTTTGAAATTCATGTCACTTCCAAAATATGGACCGTTATCTTGGCATGGATTTTCTTTCCGTATCTGTCCTCTACCTACTTTCACTTTGCCTTTTTTTGCTATAGGATCTTGGCAACTTTGTAAATGTTTATACTTACATATGTCTGTATCAAGCAATGTTCTAATATTACATTTGACCTCATGATCATTTACAGTTAGTTCTTCGACTTCTTGATGCAATTTACCTTCCTTCATATTGTATATCATAAATGTTTCGTTTATAATATCCTGTACAGTTCCAAGATATTTTTGTTTCCAAATTGGAAGATGACTATTGCTTATAGTTCCATCTAATGTCAAGGGTCCTTTTAACTGGTATTGCGTCAACCATGTGCCTTGATCAATGACGTTGTCAGTTGCAGTTTTTTCACTATTCACACAGTGAAAAAGGCCAAGCTGACAATTATCGCTTGGCTCGTTGATAGTCAGACATGATAGTAATTCTTTTGTATTAGTCAAAATGTCATTGGAACACACTTCTTTATAATGAGTCAAACCATATGATGTCTCATCTAAAGTGCTTCTGGAAGATTTGAACAGTCCATCTTGTATCTCTTCTACGTTCGCCAATATTTTCTCTTCTTCATGTTCTACGACTACAAAACAATTATGCTCTCTGTCATGTTCTAAGGCTGTAAAATCATTATTCTCTTTGTATGAGGTTATAAAATCAATATGTTCTTTGTCATGTTCTGAGGCTGTAAAATTATTATGCTCTTCGTTTGAGGCTATAAAATCATTATGCTCTTTGTCATGTTCTGAGGCTGTGAAATTATTATGTTCTTTATCATGCTCTGAAGCTGTGAAATCATTATGCTCTTTGTCTGAGGCTATAAAATTATGCTCTTTGCCATGCTCTCTGGCTATAAAATCATTATGCTCTTTGTCCGAGGCTGTACAATCATTTTGCTCTTTGTCATGTTCTGAGGTCGTAAAATCAGTTTGTTTTTTGTCATGTTCTCTGGCTATAAAATCATTATATTCTTTGTCCGAGGCTATAAAATCATTATGCTCTTTGTCATGTTCTGCGACTACAAAACAATTATGCTCTCTGTCATGTTCTGAGGCTATAAAATCATTATGCTCTTTGTGTGAGGTTATAAAATCAATATGTTCTTTGTCATGTTCTGAGGCTGTAAAATTACTATGCTCCTCGTTTGAGGCTACAAAATCATTATGCTCTTTGTCATGTTCTGAGGCTGTGAAATTATTATGTTCTTTATCATGCTCTGAAGCTGTGAAATCATTATGCTCTTTGTCTGAGGCTATAAAATTATGCTCTTTGCCATGCTCTCTGGCTATAAAATCATTATGCTCTTTGTCCGAGGCTGTACAATCATTTTGCTCTTTGTCATGTTCTGAGGTCGTAAAATCAGTTTGTTTTTTGTCATGTTCTCTGGCTATAAAATCATTATATTCTTTGTCCGAGGCTATAAAATCATTATGCTCTTTGTCATGTTCTGCGACTACAAAACAATTATGCTCTCTGTCATGTTCTGAGGCTATAAAATCATTATGCTCTTTGTGTGAGGTTATAAAATCAATATGTTCTTTGTCATGTTCTGAGGCTGTAAAATTATTATGCTCTTCGTTTGAGGCTATAAAATCATTATGCTCTTTGTCATGTTCTGAGGCTGTGAAATTATTATGCTCTTTATCATGTTCTGAGGCTGTGAAATCATTATGCTCTTTGTCTGAGGCTATAAAATCATTATGCTTTTTGTCATGTTCTGAGGCTGCAAAATCATTATGCTCTTTATCTGAGGCTATAAAATCATGCTCTTTGCCATGCACTCTGGCTGTAAAATCATTATTCTCTTTGTCGTGTTCTGAGGCTATAAAATCATTAAGCTCTTTGTCATGTTCTGAGACGATAAAATCATTATGCTCTTTGTCATATTCTGAGGCTGTAAAATCACTGTGCCCTTTGTCTGAGGCTATAAGATCATTATGCTCTCTGTCATGTTCTGAGAATATAAAATCAGGATTCTGAAGCTCAGATTCATTAGATATGGCACTTGTAGATTTGGGGTGTGAAAATTCTATATCAGTTTCATTATTCATTTCAAATAATCCACTTATAAAATTGCCATCATTACTCTCGGTTTTAATTTTACACACATTTCTTAATGCAACTCTATCGTGAATAATCGAATTATTATTCAGAACCATATTTTGATTAACTGTTTTACAGATGATGTTTTCCTCACGTCTGTTTATCATGACTTCATGATTTCCATTAGCTTTCTTTTTCATATCTTTATTCTCTATATTCACCATACTGTTCTGCTTTAGAAGTATGCTTTCTATGTTTGTTTGTTTTTCAGTATTTAAAATATTGATTGTTCTAGTTTCTTGTTTTCCACCAAGTTCTTGATTCACAATGTTTTTTTTGCATATTAAAGTTCTTTGACGTTTAGTGTTTTTGTGATCTTCGTCTCTGAAGCAAGTATTAATTCTATCTGTAACATGTTCTTCGCCCAAAATGTTAAGTGCAGACTCTTGAGATACACCATTCTTATGTTCCACATATTCATGAACTTTTGTACTGTTATTCACAATGCTATTCTGACTTATATCTCTAGAATTCATAATGACTTCCTGGTAAGTATCAGCCCTATTTATAATGTTTGTCTGACAACAATCCAAATCTTGACTAATCTTTATATCTTCCTTACTTGCGATTGCACTTATATTGATAACTTTATCATTACCCATTACATTTCTACCCACAGTTTCAATCTGCCTATCAGCGAAGGCATTATGACTTGAAGGATCATTCTGATTGATACTGTTTTCGCGGAATGATTGTTCTAGATGAGCAGTACTGCTCGCCATCATTTCTTCATTCGCCATGATACCTAGGTTCATGCC